AGAGAGAGAGAGAGAGAGAGAGAGAGAGAGAGAGACAGACAGACAGACAGACCGCGTGTAATACGGGGAGCCCACTACGGATTGGATCTGCCGACTCGGTCGCCTCAAAAACAAACATGTTTGTTTTCAGTTTCAGGAGACTCTTTCTTTAAACAGTCAAACTCGGGCAGCAGTTTTTCCGTTATAAGCGAGTCCTGTTAATCAGTTAACGTTATAACCGTTACCATGGGAAATTACCAGTACCATTGCACCTTCAGCATATCGATTATCGCAAGGAGGGGGGGGGGGTGTATGTGTTTTAAAAGTTTACGTTTATGCAAGCGATCATTCAACTGGCGTAATGTCTTGGTTGAGACAAATATCAATGATTAGACGGATCGAAAGCAAGTTCATGCGCTGCAAGATCACTGTGTTATATCCGAGTCTGCGCAAATTTAACCCTGTTATAGCCAGGTTCATACATGTATAACTTACATTTATATCTTTAATGTTAAGTTAAGGCACTTGCAACACAATTAGGTCAAATAAGTGCCGATGGTTAGAGGAATAACAAGTAAGTACGGTAGTAACAAACACGAAAAAAGGAAGACAAATAAGGACGGAAGATGTTCGATAGTAATAGTGATGATAGGCATCTGCTAAACACCCATGATGCGTGCAGCTTCTCTGATCTATAGTATAATAAGGAGTTTTTAGGACATTCGATATAACATCCTTTGTATAGGGACATGGTGCCCAGGTCCCTATTTTTCCTTACTTGCATCATGTAGGCCTACATGTGTATGAATATATACATATATACTGTCACTGTACTGTATATCGTTAGTTCAATAATATTTTTGGCTGCTTTTCTATAATGACAACTCTGGTCCCAACGATGTTATTGAGAGGCTTCACTGTACAGTATGATTATGTATACTAAAGACAAGTGAGAGACCACTTTATAATAATATGCACTGTACACTAGTGTTGGAGGGTGCGGTGGCAGAGCGGTTAATGCGCTCGTCTCCGAAGCGGAAAGCCTCGGTTCGGACACAGATTATTTTCGCTCCCTCCTGCCCACCCAGCAGTAATGGGTACCTGACCTCGAGTTGGTGAGGAAGTAAAGGCGGCGTGGAAAGGAACTAGCCACCGGACCACAATATGGATATGCCGAAGGGCCAGGAAGTTATCTCACTAACAAGGCAATCCCCAATGTCCGGATCGGATGCGGGAACAACTTTACTTTACACAAGCGTTGACTGGCACGTTTGTTTCTAGTAAACACATTGAATCGGTAGTCTAGTGTTGAAGCTATCGGACACCTTGGGATAGGCACATATACAGTCGAACCTGCCTTAACGGAAACCTGTTTTAACGGAATATCCCCCCCCCCCCCCTTGATGTACATGTATTCCTCTTTAATTTCCTGTATAAAACGGAAACCTGTCCAACGTGGAAACGGAAAGAAAAATCCGATCCCTTCCGAGGGTTTCACCTGCCTAATAGTCCACTGTCCAGACGAAAAAACCCGTCACCAATTGCAACAGAAATAATTCTGACGTGAAGTGGTAGAAAAGGGTGTTCTAAACACCCACCATAAATTATACCTGTTTAGAGTGTGGTTTTTCTGAGATATTGGTCATTTTCTACTGACCAATTTCTGTTCTAACCCTCGAGAGTTCCATAGCTAAAAAGACACCTTCCTTCCTGTGACACACTTAACCCTAATAGTTTATTGACGCATTTTCGCAGAAGTTTCAAGCCAGTTTTGCCATTTTGTGTAGCATGCAACTTAAATATGAGTTATAGAAATAAGCTATATAAAAAGAATTGCTTTGTTACCACATGCACGTTTTAAAAATAAACAAAAACACACAGATGCCTGTGTTGACACACATACGTGTGCGCTAAAGTATGGAAAACCGTTATGGTTAAAGAACAAACGTTTCTATGAAATACTTATTTTAGTACATCAATAGATCTAGCTCTATGTGTTTCGATCTACTTAGATCTTGATCTATGTCTAATTTAAGTACACGTAGAAATGACTTGAATCTAGATCTATGTATCTCAGTCGTTCATTCATACTAGCTTTCGGCTTTGTATTGTTTGTATGTGACTGCGTGCCAGCGTTGGTGTGTGTGAGTGAGTGAGTGTGTGTGTTTGTGTGTTTGTGTGTGAGTGAGTGTGTTTGTGTGTGAGTGAGTGTGTTTGTGTGTGTGTGTGTGTGTGTGTGTGTGTGTGTGTGTGTGTGTGTAATTTCAGGTAGGCCTACAGTCTGGAATAGATAATGAATTTGTTGTTCTTTTGTTCCTCGCATTGTATAGTCTCCATTTTAACCGGCACGATAGTTCTTGTGGTCCCTATGCAAAATAACACAACAAAACACCAATTATAGCATTTGACCAACTTTTGAGGTGGAAAGCGTTGAAAATCTTGGAAGGCGAGCCTGAAACCAATGAACTCCGCCCCAGTTCGCTGCGTTTAAGACCACTTCATGTGGAAATGAACTACATGTACCTCGCATGCACTGGGCATCTCACCAGAAGTCGAAGATACTCAGTCTAGCCGTGAAGCTTCAAGTGAAAATTACTCTCAACCAGATATTTTTTCAAAACATCGACGCTGCAACACCTCATTCACCTGCATCTAATAAAGACTTGCAGGTTTTTATTAACTTTATACAAACACGTTATGGCAAACGAGTTGTCTGTCAATGATCTGAAGAGCAATGAACTTTTTCTTGGTTTGGCTACGAAAGTCGAAGATCACGCAAGTACTCTCATCAGTAGAGCAAGCGAAGTGTGGCTTCAATATATGGCAATGGTTGAGATCTTAAAACTATTTCTAAAAGCAGAGAGAGCTGGAAGGTGGATCAGTCTCAGAATTATCCTTGAAGAAAAAAGACAAGGTTGTTGTAATGGCTGCAAAGACAGCTCTAAAAGCTAACCACGACCCTGTGACTATATTGACTCTCAGTTGTTTCAGAGATTAGTGACAGATGCAACTTCAAAATATGAAGACACGACAGAGATTTTTAAACACAAACTTTGCAGCTACCCTTCGTCATTGTCTGAATCTGCAGATATCCTTCATCAATCCAACAAATCAGCTCTGCTTGAAGAACTTTGGAAATCAAGGACGATGGTTACGCCTGATCG